GCTGCTGCTGGAAATAGTTGGCCCCCATGAGCTCGCTGTTTGTGGGCGCCGATGGTGTCAGGCAGAAGCCATCCCGGTCTCTACCTTGCCTTGCCTTGCCTTGCGGCAATGGCACCCCTGCCCTGCCCCCTGCCTCACCCCGCAGGACGAGCCTCCTGCCCACCGTCCCACCTGCCAGAGACCCCCTGGATGTCCCTCAACCCTGCCTGGCCTCCACAGGCATCCCTCCCAAGCAACATCGAGGTGGCCACACCCACCCCGGCCACGCCCACCCAGTCTGCCATGACCAGTGCAACCATGCCCACCCACTGGTCACGCCCATCCACTGGGCCATGCCCACTTGGCACCTAACAATAAATAAGTGGGGTTTGGGTTGCAGTTTGGGCACTCAGTCTCTAAAAGGTTCGCCATCACTGCCCTATACCATTTCAGACAAATGGTTGTTCAATCTCTTCTTAAAAACCTCCAGTGTGGAGCATTGACAACTTCTGGAGACAGGTTGTTCCACTGATTAATTGTTGTAACTGTCACAAAATTTCTCCTTAGTTCTAGGTTACTTCTCTCCTTGATTAGTTTCCATCCATTACTTGTCCTGCCTTCAGGTGCTATGGAGAATAGCTTGATTCCCTCTTCTTTGTGGCAGCCCTTTAAATAATGGAATACTGCTATCATGTCACCCTAGTCCTTCTTTTCATTAAACTAGACATACCCAATTCCAACAACCGTTCTTTATATGTTTTAGCCTCCAGTCCCCTAATCATCTTTGCTGCTCTTCTCTGTATTCTTTCTAGAATCTCAACATCTTTTTTACACTGTGGCGACCAAAACTGGATGCAGTATTCCAAGTGTTGTCTTACCAAGACATTATAAAGTGGTATTAACACTTCACGTGATCTTGATTCTATCCTTCTGTTAATGCAGCCCAGCACTGTGTTGGCTTTTCTGTCAGCTGCAGCACACTGCTGGCTCATATTTAAGTGATTGTCCAGTAGAACTCCAAGATCCCTCTCACAGTTACTACTATTGAGCAAGGTACCCCCTATACTGTACCTGTGCATTTGGTTTTTCTTGCCTAAATTTAGAACCTTACCTTTTTCACCATTAAATTTCATTTTGTTAGATAGCGCCCAATGTTCAAGTCTGTCAAGATCTTTCTGTATCTTAAGCTTATCTTCTGGAGTGTTGGCTATTCCTGCCAGCTTGGTACTGTCTGCAAATTTGATGAGTTCCCCATCTATCTCTTCATCCAAATCATTGATGAAGATGTTGAAACCTAAAACAGAGCCTTGGAATACCCACTGCATACTTCCCTCCATGTAGATGCAGTTCCATTGAGGACTGCACGTTGAGTGTGGTTGGTCAGCCAGTTACGAATCCATCTGGCAGTGATGTTGTCTAACCCACATTTTTCTGTCTTATCAAGTAGTA